CCCGCGCTCGTCCCCTGCTCCGTGTGACTTGCACCCCCCCAGCCAGCTTAAAGACACAGCCTGGGCCCCAGCGCGGAGCCCCGGGCGCCAGGTCGGGCCCCTCCGGCCAGGCCGTGTCTGCAGAGCCACCCATGGGCGCGTGGAGGCAGGGGGGAGATGCTCCGGAGCCTGGATGGTCACCGTCGTTTTCTTCTCCCGTTAACGCTCCCTTTGAGTTTTGAGCTTATCAGGCTGATCTTTGCTCCCCAATTTGCCTTTAAAATGGCCCCACCCTTGCCTGAGATGATTTCCCAGGGAGGGGGACCGAGCCCTGCGCTGGGCCACGAGGGCCATCGGGGAGGCCTTGACGCTGCTGCCGCGGCAGAGGGGACAGCGGGGAGGCAGCCCCGGGTGCCCAGGCCGGCCGGCACCCTGAGCGCTGCGGGAGGCCGGGGCCACCTTCCCAAGCGGGCTGCAGGCCACGGGGTGCTTCTCAGGCCCCAGCACCCACGTGGCCTATTTTCTTTTTCCCCCTTCATTTTTATTTTTACATTTTGAGTCCAGAATCCAGAACAGAAAGTTAAAAAATGCAACTGCCGTTTTCTGGAAAAATGCCCAAAAAACAAAGATTTTTTTCATGTTCAAATCCAACTTTGTCATGAAATACGTCCTTACTATTTGAATGAACTGGTCTTATTGATGGAAAAAAAAAGTGTTCCGCCAGCTCTACTATTTACTCTGTTCTTTTCTGGAAGGGACAAGCACGGTGCTGGCAGGCGCCACATGGAGCTTGGCATGGGAATAGCCGGGATGATGCGGGGGAACACTGTGACCAAGGTGTTAACAGACTGTACGTGGGATCAGCTCTGGGCGCTCCTGCACAGCGGATCCCGTGTCCTCACAGCTCTTGCGTCCTCAGCAGCCGTTTACCCCAGGGCCCAGAGAGCGTGAAATGCTCTAGAGGAGAAGGGGAGTCATCTAAATCCTCTTGCAAATAATTGTCTGGGAATCTGGGTACCTGTGAGTCGAAATAGCAGTATCTCCACAAGGCCTAACCACCATTTATTTTGATCATCTCTACAGATAAGTTCCCGCTCTGCTTCCATGTGGGAAGATACTTGCACACAAGTCCAGCTTCTCTCCACAGTGTCTGGATAGGAGCAGACCCCAAATCCTCCAGGCATGACAGAGAAAACTCCCGCATCTCCTCGCTGCAAACCACAGCACCCTCAGGGCAGTGCACATGGGCTGTCCTCACCTGCCTTAGCCCCCGCACAAGCCTTTCCCCTCTCCGCTATGCAAAGCTGCGCGTTATGCTGAGATCCACAGCCCACCTGTGTCCGGAGCCCTACTTCCTTGCAGTCAGGGCATATGAGACAGTCTTTGGTCTTGGTCAAACCAGACCAAAGTCTGACCAAGTCTCATCAAACGGAGAAGTGAGAGCCAACAAGCGCAAGAGATGGTCAAGTTTGTGCAGGTCCCTTTCAAACAGTCTGAACTAGTTGACAGTAACGCACGCTCCATACGGGCACACGCTAGTGACTTGGGGCTGCATGATTTCCCCGGATCACCCAGGCAAGGACAATCTAATCATGAGAAGGAAGAGGGCTGAGGATAGCTCAGTGCGCTTGTCGCTGGGTTTCTGCCCATCCTGATGCAGAGTGCTCTCTGTCCCTGTGTATGGATGTTTAATGTGTTGGGAATTTGAGAAGCAATTAGAGAATATGGCAAAATCTACAGCAGCAATTTCACTTTGCATAGGAAAGCCTTAGCCTGCTAGAAGAATGAATTAATACCAAACTGACATGCAAGTATACAATTAAAGCTCACGTAGTTGTAAATCATTTCAGGGTGACCAACTTAATACTGTAAGTCATTTCCCAATCTGATGTCCCTAATTGCTAAATCACCACTCTCGGCTCTTACAAGGGAGGCAAGCAAGTGATTCCAGTATATCCTCTTGAAAAAACTGCAGGAAGTTTCTTCTAAAGACATATGCAAAATGGGATGACATGTGTCTGCAATTTGCAATTCTCACCTGTGTCCTTTGGGAGTGTATTTCCCTAGAACTAGTCAGACATCTAATGATTTCCTGCAATGGAATTACAAGGACCTGTTGGGAGTGTGTGTGAGCCCCAGAGAGTAGTTCTGTGAGGCAAGGGAGTGACACTGAGATACTGAAGAAAAGGAGTTTGCTCAGCTGTGGAGTCTGTGTCAAGACCAAATGGTGAACAGTTCTTGAAACAAGCTCAGGTGCATAAGGTAATCTGTTTAGCGGGAACCTGGGGATGTGCAGGGTGCTGAGGGGAAGTCCATGAGAAACAGTGGTCTAAGGAAAGGATTTAAGAGGTATTGAAGATTGTAAGAGAGTGTGGGGTGGTGGAGAATGATTAACTTTTTGGCAGAAGAGCTGCTGGAAGGAGAGCAGTGTCGTGGAAAATGGGTACAAAGGCTTTGGGAATTGCCACGGTGTGGGGAGCTGCCTCTCTTTGAGTGGTCTGAAGAAAAATCCCTGCTAGAAACAAGCCTTGATGTGGAGAGGGAATGTTTCCTAGCAAGGTGGTGAGGAAAGTTTTGAAGCACAGAAGGGAAGAAAGGGTAGCAGACTCTGGGACAATTGCTCAGCCTGGCATAAAAGACTGTTAAGTGCCAGAGAGGAATGCGGGAGTGGGGACGAGTTACGAGTGACCTGAACGACTATTCAGCTACTGTCATTAAAGCTGTGACATAGTTTAGAGAGAGAGTTTAGCACATTTGCCTTTGAAAGAGTGAGAACCAGGTTTTGGACACCATGGATTGGGTATGCTGCAACAGCCAGAGTTTGGCCAGCACATCAAGAGAAGTGATCCCTCCCTTCTACCCAGCTCTGCTGAGGCCAGGTCTAGATGTTATGTCCAGATTTGTCCCCCCATAATACAAGAGATATGTCCCTACACCACAGTAATTCCAGCAAAGTCTATCAAGAGGATCGCGGGACAGGAGAACAAGACATATAAGAAGAGGCTGAGGGAGCTAAGTTTGTTCAGCTTGAAGAAAAGAAGGTGAACAGACCATGTACTTACTCTCTTCAGCTGTCCAAGAAAGGTGCAGTACAAAGATGTGCTGGGAACGAACGAGAAGCAAAGAATACAAACTAGAATATAGGGAATTCCCTTTAGAGCTGTGGAGAACACACTTCCCAGTAAGAGTGGTGCAGCTCTGCGACAGGGACCAGAGAGGGAATAGGGTCTCCATCCTTTATCTTTTTCTGACCCGAGCAACCTGATCCAGCTTTAGAGTTAGCCCTGTCTTGTGCAGTCTTTGGATTGGAGGCTCCAGACATGCTCCCCCACCTCCCCCTTTCTACAGAGTCTGCTTCACTAAGGCATTACAGTATAACTGGGTGCAATGCTTCTGGGGTACATGTGCCCCTTAAAATTGGAGGATGTGTGACTGGTCGCCCCAGCTGAGGTGGGGTGCTGTACCAGCGCCCTGAGACAGGGGCTTGGAAGTAGCATGAAAAATGTCAAACCATGCAGAAAAGAGTCTAATCAGCTAAGACTAAAGGTACAGGCCAGCTAAATACTTTTAAGCTCCATTTTTCTCCTCTGATAACTTGATCCAACTGCTAGTTGCCAGTCTGCCAAAAAAATGTGTTGGAAAAGATGTTGTGCCCTTCCAAAGGGAGAAGAGGAACACCTGAGCAGCAGCTGGCCAGCACAGTTCTGCAGCCAACTGCAGCCGGGTTCTGATCCCAGCTGTGGAGAGGCACATCCAGGACTGCATCACACCCTGATCAAGGCTTCTTGCAATCCTGTTTTCAAGGTACTGGCAAGCTGTGGAGTGCTCCAGCTGAGAGCTGGAGAATAGTGTGTGAGAATGAGAGCACCTCATAGTAATGAACTTGTCCCAAAGGTTCTGAGCAAGACCTTGCCTTGCACCAAGACAGCCAGGAGACATCTCTTCTACTGTCCTCCAGGGTGGCCATCAGCAGTGGCACTGTGCTTTGTGGGGTGGGAATCCCCTTCACTGATGGCTGTGGTTCACCTGGGGTTGCAGTTTGTCATGGTGCTAGGCTTGGAGTTAGTTGTGCCTAATGTCCTCCATGCAGGAGAGAAGTGAAGCCCAGAAGTAGTCTGCAGATTAGAGAGATCTAGTGGGACGGAGCCCTGTCTGCAGAGAAAGGGCCAACCTTTGGCACAAGTCGCCCTTCCAGTCCAGTCCCAAAGTTCTTGTTCTTCAGGCAAAGAGGAAAGGGAATATGGTGCATCGGAAGTCAGGGGCACCCCAGGTGCTAGATTTCCTCTTGCTGATGTGTCTAGGCCCAACAGAGGTTGCGGTGCCTCTCATCTGTCAAGAGCTTGGACACTGTTGAGCTGAACAGTGTCTGCTCTTCCAGCCCTGTGCAGCAAGACTCAAGAAGGGCAAGAAAATTGGAGCTGAGAGATCACCTAGGGGTGATGTGCCTGACAGCGCCAGGCTCCTGCAGGATGCACAACCCTCAGCTGGGTCACCGAGGGCCTTGCCCATGCTCACTGTATTCCTGTGTAGCACCAGCCTCCTCACCAGTGCCATAGAGAAGAGCTGCTCACAGTCAGTGAGACACAAATCACAGTCAGCGCAGCATGCGGATGCATGGCTATGAGCCAGAAGTACACACGTGGTGGCAACTAGTAATCCATGGAGTGTTGTCCCAACAGCTGGAGGCACTAGCACTATTCCGATAGTGCTCACATAGTCACTTGGAGCTCTCTCTCAAGAGTTGCTGAAGCAATTGAACAAAAACCTGCAAGGGACCAAGAGCTGAGCGACTTTAAAGGCTATTTTGCTTGCATTTTTTTTTTCATTGGGATATCAGTAGACATCATCATTCCACGCCTTCATCCGGATGCTATGGGGAAGTTGTGCAAATAGTTTTGCACTGAGGCCAGTACAGTAAGCTGTCCTGATGCTAGGCCTGAGAAAGCTCAAGACCTTGGGGCCTTGATAAAAGAGGGGAGCTAAGTCCAAGAATCTGGATCAAGGCAAAAAGACATGATGAGGAGTCTCCTATCATCATGGAGAAGCTATGTGTGAAATGAGCAGGTCCCCAGCTCCTTGGGCTTGCAGGAGATATCTGTGCATGGTTTCTGTGTGGAGGAAAGTGCAGTCAGTGTGAGAATGTGGCTGTACAGGAGGGAAGGGTGCAAAATTTAATGAGGCCCTGGACAAAACCTCTTGAAGTCCTCCACCCATGAAGTGCTGCTCTGCATCCTGGAACAGCCTCGGGAAGTGTAAATAGAGCTGAGAAAGGGAAGGCAGGACTCCTGGGCTGCATGGCCTAAGACTCATAATGACTTCAGTAATGGCTGGACACAGGGTCACTTCTGCCCTGCAGAGTGTGCAGGGCTTGGCCATGAAGATGCTACAGTTGAGTGCAGTAACTACAAATCTTCTGGGAAGGTAGAAGGTTGGTTAAGGTAAATGTTAAGAGAGGAAGAACTTCTCAGCTTGCTCCCTGATGTGCTCCCCAGCACTATCTGTTTCTCCTGGAACCTCCCAGGATGGTCTTTCCAGAGCAGAGGTCACATCCCAAACCAATAGGCAAGAAGATGAGGCCAGTGTGCAAATAGCAACAGGTTTTCCAGAGTGTGCATTGGCCAAGACCACCCAGCCTCCCCAGCACCCTGGGCTCATTCTTTTAAAGAGCCAGTGGGTTCTAGGTAAAATATGTGCTGGGTACAAGGGCTCTCACTCACCTGTACTCCAGGCTCATGCACTCGAAGAGCCGGGTCAGGGTCGGGTCGATGCTCCGGGGATCAGCAGGTTTGGGCTCAGTGCGGTGGTGACGCCGCCGAGGTAGCGAGTCGCTGTGCGGAGACGACACCATGAAGTGGCCGCTATGAATGACCTGAGAAGGGTTCTGCAGGCCGGCGCCAGCTCCTGCGCTGCCTGCGGCCGGGTCCTCAGAGTCGGAGTCCGAGTCGGAGTCCGGGCTTGGCCGAACTCGGGGCTCGAGGAAGGATCCCGAGAGCCCTCCCTGAGCTCCAGCCATCGCTCTGCGCCTCTTACAGGAGCAGATGCCTTTAGCGAAGCCCTTATGAGCCTGCCCGGGCCCTGTGGTCCATATCCCGGTGGCTGCTGTGCCCTACGGATGCTGCATTAGCATAGGGCACGTGCTATCGTCCTCATGGGGATGATGTCTGAACACCACACCTCCTCTCTAGAGCTTCTTGCCCCACCCCTGTCCGGGCTGACACCGCACCGGCTCTTCCCGCGTAGTGCTTAAGCTTTCGGTTTGTCAGGAAGCTCTCAGCGAGTCCTATTTATAGTGGTGGCCCAGTGATCCCGCCCATGGTGCATCGTCAGCCAGGCCACCGCAGCGGGGCCACTGGCCTGGCCGGGCACTCCAGCTCCGCGCTGCAGTCCCCACTCCTGCAAAGCACCCAACTTGCTCCAGCTTTTATTTTCCCGGTAAAGGCTGGGGGCCTGGGGAGGAAGGGCTCCCGATTTTGCTGCGTCCCACCCTCTCCAGCCTGTGGGATTTGTTGGCAGGCGGAGCGCGCAGCCATCTCTGTTTACCCAGGCTAATAGCTGCTCCCAGTGCGCCCGTGGGGGAGAAGAATACTTGGTATTTACCTAGCACCTCTGCCCTAATGTATCTCCCTGCACTTCCAAGGGAACAAATATAGATTAAAAGACACAAACAGGTGAAATTATAGCAACGGGCATCCAGCTCAGCACAAAGCATATTGAGCCACTGAGCCGTGCAGTGACGCTGTGAAACAGCCAAGGCAAAAGTCTACCCTGAAAAGAGCACTCTGAGCAAGAAAGGAGATGCAAACACAGCTTGCAAGTTCCATCAAGGACAATGCTGAGCTGAGGTTCAGTGGAATTTATGCCCCTTACAGATATCTTGTCCTTAAAAATAATTCTCTTCACCTCAAAAAAAGTCCTGAAGAAAGCAGGCAGGTCAGGCTGCCTGTGTCAGCCACCTTCCTCTGCACGAGTGAGGACAATGAAGTGCTTGTGCATCTCCCTGGTGCCCGCAGCTGCGTTGTTGTAGTTGGTCTTTGGTAAAGCAATGTGAATGATTGTCAGGACTCATTCTCTCCATGCCAGCTAGACATTCACCCATTCCACAAGCACCTCCTCACTGACCAGAGTCTCAGGGGGACACGATGGAGATAGTTTAATGCCTAAACTAGGCCACTTTCTTTCTGTCCTGTTTCTGTTAACATCTTCCCCCCATTCACTACCTGACAAAAGCATACAGGATAGAATAGCAGCCAGGCGCAACTCGTCTAGTTGTCTCTGATGGAGAGATGGGCTAAACAGTGGCTTAGTCTCTCTCAGGTTTCTAAACTTTATATCCCGGTTGGAGTTGAGCAGCCTCTGTATGATACAGATCACTTCTCGGCCTTTTGACTAAGATCATGTGTAGTATCTGCTCCAGGCTAGTAAGCAGCATCCAAAGTACTGTTAAAAAATAGAAGAAGAATATGCACGAATAGTTGATTTGAAAAGCATTAATGCTGGCTATTCTCACTTAGGAATAATTTCTTCATTATCCAGTCACATCTGCATTGCTTTGTCACTCGCTTTTTCTTCTTTTTGATTCATTCCAAATGCACCAGCTCATTTCAGGTTGCCTATCAAGATGCCAAAGAGAAGTAATTTAGAAAGTATCGTCTTTAGACATCTGGAGGCAATAGTGAGCATGTGGGTGTCCTAGGAAACTAAGGATTAGACAGTCCAGGAGAGATAAGAGATATCAGGGCTTTCTGGGAGCACAGCACCATGGACTCCTCTGTGCAAGAGCCATGCTGCGCTATGGGGGCTTTCCAGTTTATTGGCCAAGATCATTTGGCCTCCAGGTCCACCTAAGGGAGGCACAGAACTACGTGAGGCATTTAGGAACATCACAGAAAAGTCATCTCCAGTCTAGAAGCACTTGTGCTGCAGAGGAGGAGGTAAATCTCTGCAGAGAAGATCATGCAGCTTGGGAAGGGAGTGATAGATCCTACAGAAGAATGTCCCCTGCCCAGCTAATCCTTTATCCTCTTGCACTGGTGACAACCCTCCTCCAGGAGCACAGATCCCATGCGGGAATGGCTGAATTGTAGTGCTAAGGGCTTTTATTATTAGCCCTATGGATGCCCAAATGTGTGATGCTGGTTAGAGCCATGTTGATAGAACACAGTTTCTGAGAGAGTGCTGAGAAGAAGCTGTGGTCCTGAGCACCATTTAGCAGAAATGTCCCCCAGGCAAAACATAAACTGTTATACAGGAGATTAAAGATCAGAGTCCACATAGGGATGCTCTAAAATGATCTCCAAACTGAGCACAGAGGGAGAGAGTCTCAGTGTCTGGGTGGGAGAACAGCGCTGGGAGAGACAATGTGCAATCACACCAGCTACTGGGATGTTGTGAACTGAAACCTGAAGGGCAATCAACAGATCCAGAGGAGCACACAGACCACACTGGTCAGTCCCCCAAAACAGGGGATCCTCTGAAGTCCTAAAAACTTGGGATCCTAAAAAAAAAGAAATAGAACTGAAACCTGCTAATACGGCTATCAGAAAGAAGGCAGATAGGGATCTACTGGATCGGAGGTCACCTACTGAGAACAATAAACAAACTCCACCAGGACTTTTTTGAATTGCTAACAGAAGCTGCCGGCGGGCTATCAAAGGAATGGAAAGTGGCACAGATGGTGTTGATTTCTGAAAGGATCATTCACTAATCTAAGGATCTACAGAGCTAGAAATCTGATTCCTGCATGTAGTATGCTGGTAGAGACTGTAAAAAACATGGAATTATTCAAAATTTATGGATATATAATATCCATTGAGGAAGAGTTGATGCTGGTTTTATAGAGGGAAGTCTTAGCTTAGAAGTCTGTTACAATTCTTGGAAGGAGACTGTGTATGCAGATGATGTTGATCCGATCCACTGTTTTTGAAACAGTTTTCAAAAAGGTCCATCACAAACTGTTTCCAAAGACATCACAGATCAGTAACTGGAAAAGTTAGTTTTCAAATTTCCAGAGATAACCAGTTGGATTCTATGAGTATCAGTATTAGGAGCTAGATTTTTCAGCAGTCATAAGCGATGGAAGAAAAAAAAACTTAAATTACATGGTGGTAACATTTTCTGGTGTTGCAAAATAATTTAGAGCAGTCAAATTTAAAGGTGACTGGAAAAAGCTGTGGAAAGATTTCAGGATACTGAGTGAGTAGGTGAAAAAATGGCAAATAAAATTCAATGTTGATAAGAATAAATGGAAGCACATCCCAGCTGTACACAATGGTGGACTCTAAGGTAGTTATTACAGTTTAAGAGGCAGATCTGAGGGGAGGTAGTTCTCTGAACACATCAACTAAAAGTTCAGGAGCAATTAAAAAAAAAGCATTAAAAATACTAGGAAAGGAATAGACTTACAACAGAAAACATCATTTGGCACAGTATAGATGGGGAGGTGCTCACTGCTGTGGCAGTTTTGGTTTCCTGAGCTCAAAAAATGCGTGAAAGAACTGGAAAAAGGTATAGATATGAACAATCTGAGTGAGGAGAAGCATGGGGTGGCTTCCACGCAAGCAAAGGCTGAACAGACCTTTGCTAAAGGGATCCTAAAAAAGGGATTATGGGGGTAGTCTGTGCGAGGGGTACCTAAAATGATGCAGAATTAACAGAGAATGATTAGGGAATGATGGTTTAGTTAGAAAAGAGTTTTGAGGCCCACATTCCAGCAAGTTGTGCCTGAAGTTCCTACATAGTAGCTCTGTCCCAGATGCCAAACAGTGGCCAACAGAGAGGAATTGATTTATGCTAATGGAGTGGGTAGCAGGATGCTGACACATAAAATGTGGATGCAGCCCAGCCAGAAGTGCCTGCAGGTGTTATAGCTTTGAAGGTGTGGATGGAGGAGGTGTGGTGGAGCCATTCGGGTGGTCTTGCCATATGTCTTGTAAGTAATAGTGATTTGCTGTCAGATATCTCTCTCCCTTGTGGCACTAATTCAGGTCAGGATTGAAATTCCTATCATCAAAGCAGATAGCTTTCAGACAAAGTGCATCTTCTTTTGTCTAGTTTCGGCAAGACTTTAGCCTTCCCTCAAAAACGGTGTTACCACTCATATCTGTGGCAGACAGTGGTTTTTATTTCTCCCCAGAAGTGTCAAGGAAGCTGGAGATGTGGTGGTATATTTTGCTCATTGTATCACTAGCTTTTCTTCATCAGGGCATTTGAGGAAAGGGGAAGGAACCTGAAAACTCTTCTCTGCGGTGGGCTCATTCCACCCAAGGCCCTTTGGAGCTGCCATGGGCATCCTCAAGTTTCTGAGAACACCCTGGACTTTCTCATTGCCAGCAGATTAGGATACAGGTAGTGGCAGAAGAGAAATCCAGTCAAAGGTATTGCTGAGATTCAGCCTCAAGGACTGAGGACCCCGTAAATGAGAGCAGGTCCATGTGCCACATAGTGTTATCATTTGTAATCTTATGAAAAAAAGTTCAACTGAGAAGGTTGAATCTGGATTGCAGCAGAAGAAGCTTTTCCTTGACATTCATTGATGCCCTAAATGGCTCAGAGCCAGGTACTGTGTGCCCGTTGTTATCTGGAAGGGCTCAGCAACCTATTTCTTAGCATCTTCTGTAATCCAGAAAATGTCATAAAAGTGTCCCAGAAGTCTGATCAGAATTACTGTTCCAGAGCTGAATTAGGATATGTTGAAGGAGATGGAAGCAGAAGGCACTGGTGCAGTTGTGTCACTTTAACTGGAGTCATGTGTGTGCTGTGCTGCAGGAGTTAGATTTAATCAAACTTATGGCAAGCTCCAGAATCACTGAAGGGTCCATCCTGTCAGGAACCAAGACAAGATCTACCTTGGTGTGGAACAGGATCCTATGAGAAAGTCACCTCCATGCCCAATTTGAGGGAGTCCACTATGGAGTGACAGTAGCTTTTTGTGCCTCTGGTCCTACCCACTGGAAAATTTTGAAGGCTTGATAGCATAATTCGATGTGGCCTACTCAGATACGACGAATATGTGTC